CAGCCCGCCCGCCCTGCACGGCCAGGTGGGTGGCCTGGCGCCCATGGACACTGCCAGCGTAGACTACGGCAGCAGCATGGTCAGCGCCAACCTGCTCTATGGCAGGACGTGGTAACCCGCGGGGGAGAGGGGCCGGGCTGCCCCCCGCGCCCCCGGCCCCGCCTCGGACAGCGCTCCTGCCCCCGTGTCCCTGGCATCTGGCGCGCTCCTCCTCCTCGTTGGTTTTGCTCTGTGGCTCCTCTGCCGACTTGAAGTGCACCCGCCTTCCCCTCCCACTGGCCTGGACTCGGTGCGGCTGTGTGCGTGTACGCGCCCTTCTCCGGACACGTCGGGGTAGCTGAACACCCCATCACAAGTCTCGCATGGTCCCCAGCCCCCACCTAAGCAAACAAACAAACAAAAAAGACCAACAAGATCCATGGCTGCGGAGAGGCGACAGCCCGGGTCCCTGCAAGGTGGGCTTGGAAAGGAGCTCCCCCAGGACCTGCTTTGAACTCAAGCCTGCTCCTTCCCCCCACTCCCAAGACCATCCGCTTAACCAAAATGAAAAGAAAGGGACAGGCTCCGCACGCTCCCATGAAGAAGAAGAAGAAGATGACGATGATTTTTTTAGGCTAGTTAAAGGAAAGAGAGAGAGGGGAAAAAGCGCTACTTGGTCGCTGTACATATATCTTATAAACCAATTGAAGGCGAACAATAAATCTTTTGAAGTGCAACTTATCTCGGCAGAATTAATTTTAGAAGGGTGCCCCTTAAGTGCAATTTCATCATTAGTTGATTGAAAGTAAATTGAATTGTAACTCAAGGTCGAGGAGCGCGGCGAAGACAGAGCCCGGCTGGCTGAGAACAGCTCTTGCCATTTGGGTGGCGGCAGAGGCACAATTACATGGAGGAGAAGACCGGGCTCGTACCAGTGAAGGAGATTTTTACAGAAGAGCTTTTGAACTTTGATGCTTGGATTGCAAATGAGAAAAAAAACCAAACAAACCCCACTGTTTGGTTTTGTTTTTATTGTTGTTATGAATTATTATGATTATGGTTTAGTCAATGCTTGTATGTCAGTGGACGAACCACCCGTGTAACAAGTGTGACCCATCACATCCTGCGACAGAGAGCGAGCTGCTTGGTTTCGACTCGACTGCAGTTGAACCAAGCTGAGAAATAAAAGGAGATGAGAACAATTCCCAGCCAGTGCTTTTTCCCTCGTCCCGGCTCCTCCGCACACCCTGCCCGAAGCGAGAGAGGGTGGTAGCTTAGCGGGTCACCCCCTGCCCAGCCAAGAGCGAGGGGAAGCCAGGGGGGGAAACCCCGCAAGGAGAAACTGCCAGAAGCCCAACCCCAGCACAACCCCAGCTAGGCGAGAGAGTCTTGGGCTGATTCAAAACCGAGAGAGCAGATTAAAGCCAGTGGGGCTGCTTCCTCCTGCCCCTCTCCCGCATCTAGAAAAAAACATATTTGCAAGGAACAAAGAACACAACCCCCAGCAGACTCCCCCTCTGCCCAAAGAAGGGTGACGGTGCCCCAAAGCTTGCAAAGAACATTTCCCCCCTGACTATTGACCTGAGCTAATAAAACAGATCGCATTTACCTTCTGTGCCATTTGCAAAGAAATACCTCCGAGCGGTTCCCCACGGTCGTTTGCCAGAAAAGCAAGTCGCTGTGACTCACAAAGTTGTGCTGCTTCATTGAGACTGTGTGTGAAAGAGGCGTTTTGCCACTTGATCTGTCCCTATTTTTCGTCCTAATCGGTCTTTAACTCTCAATTCAGCGATCCGCAAATATACTTGGTCTCCCAGAGACCTGAGGGGAATTCGGCTCCAGAAAGTTGCGCTGCTCTATTTCGGGGTTGTAAAAAAAAAAATAAAAATGTTTCTAATTGGAAACATTTTTTGAGTGCTGGAGACTTTAGTCTCACATGGCAGAACGATTTAATCCAACAAATGGTGAGTGGAGTGAGAGGTATTCAGAGAAATCCGATGAAAGCGTGCTGTCTTATGAATCTAAAGAAAAAGTGGAATATTTTGCTTAATACATGCTGAGAACAAGCAAACACAAATCTCTCAAGAGCCAGAGCCCCAGCAATTTTATAACCGAGTTGAAATGTCTCCTCTATCTGAACGGGAAGGTCCTAAAACCTGCTTAACTTTTTGATTTCTTTTGCAGAAATAATTTTAGTTTAACGTTTGAACTGGGATTTTTTTTTTAAATCCCCTGCTTCCTTCACCCTCCCTCCCAATTTGCATCTCATTTTTCAATTTGGAGATGTTCTGATCTTAATCTCCTTCTCAAATGATTTTGCTACCACACCTGAAAAGATCGGATGCCTTTTTTTTCCGAAAGAGATTTGAAACAGATCCACTTTGTGGCTCAGTAGCGATCATTGCAATGAGATGATGATGATGCTTGTTATTATTACGATTATTAATATTATTATTGTTGTTATTATTATCATTATTGCTATTATTCCCTTGACGGTCAAACAAAGGTGGTGGGGGGGAGAGTCAAACTTTTTAAGGAACAAATGATACACCAGCATTACAAGAACCGTCTTTGGAAAGGAGGAGAACGATAACTGGAGCCCAAGGAAAACTTTTCAAAAAATAAAACCGGTGAATGTGTGTAAACAGATTTCAGGACGACAGGCTTCTTACTGCTTACCACGAAAGACAGGGGGACCCGACCTGGATCTGAGCTTAGCGCTCCAGGTCCGATCGGCCCGGTCATAAGGCGCGTTCAAGATGCTGTTGGGGCTCCTTTCTGCTACGGAGGGCCCCCTGATTAAAATGCCCGGGCTCCTAAAACAGCAGGTTGAGCTCCAACTCCTGATGCATTTCTAAACGGAGAAATAGGCAGGTGTGCGCGATGCACACGCACGCGCACACGGACGCCGATGTATTTTGCAGCCTTCTTGGGGTTTCTTTGTTTCTTTCCCCACTCTCTGTCTTACCCCGACCTAAGAGCGTCGCTCGCCGCGAGTCGCCGCGGGCAACGGAGCCGATGTAAAGCCCGGCTGGCACGTTTCCGAGGGACGTGTCAGGCCTTCTCTAGCGCGCAGGCGGCGGCGGGGGGCGGCCTGGTCCCAAACCCGGGTGCCGCGTGAGGAAAAGCTGCGTCCCCAGGGGGCACATGCATGCGGCGGGCCGGCTGCAAGGGACGGGGCAGGCGGCGGCGTGTGCGCGCTCGGCCGGCGCCCGGCTCCTTGACCCGCGGGGCCCCTAGCTCCGGGCGCTTGGGCTTGCCCGGCAGGGGATAGGAGCGAGGCGGCGGGACAAGCGCCCTGGCCGGGGCAGGACCAGCCCCCGCGTTGGCTCGGCCGGCTCCGGCTTCCACTTGAGGCTGGAGCGGCTCCTGGGGAGCTGGAGCAAGGTTCAAAGGCAAAGGAGCAAGGACCCACCTCTGGCATGACCCAGCCCCCGCTCCCAGGAGCGGGGAGAAAAAGACTCTGGTTGAAGGCAGCGCTCTGAAGATGCCAGCTTAGCTTTCCCCGGTTTTGTGCCCACAGGAAAAAAAAAGAAAGAAACCCAGCAACTTTTCCCTGGGAAAGACCACACTTTTTTTTAACACCACGGATTCCTACACGGAGCCTCTGGATTTACCTTGTAAATCCTGCTTGCACACCAACCAGGGCTGCTAGCACCGCCTGGCCCCCTCGAGGATCTCAAGGCAGGCCAGGGACCCCCCCCCC